CCCCCATGACGTTTCTCGTGGAAAAAATCGATATGTGAGGCTTCCCTAAGGCTTTCGAGAAAACTATCGAATTTTTCCATGAAGTTTTACTAAGAAACGTCACAGCTGCAAACCCCCACCCCCAAACGAACATATGACGTTTCTCGTGGAAAAAATCGATATGTGAGGCTTCCCTAATACGTGTGTAGCTATTTAATAGTGAAATTAGTTTCAATAGCGCAAACATATGCTATTAATAACAGAAACTAGAAGGCGTTAGAAAGGCGTTATACAGTATAGATCCTTCAGACAGAAAATACAATTTATTAATTTTCGTCATCATGATGACGTTTTTAAATGTGAAACAACTGCTTTTTTATTATACGGCATAAAATATTTTATAAACGTTAGCAAATTGGACCTATATTTTGCTACTTTCTCAAAACCTTGCGCTCAGTTTCAAGTATATGCAATGCAAAACCATTACTCGCCCACTCCCCCCGGGTTATTAATGGCTTTAAAATTTAAATCTATTTTAGGGACGGACCATTAGATATTTGAGAGGGTGGTTGCAGCTTTTTTCCTTGCAGGAAGCTTTTTTTGGACGCACATGCTGTGCACGCTTTTTTTCCGTTTAATAGTCGTTTGCTTGCAAGAATGTTTTATTTGTAGTTTTTAATAGGGGCAGGTTACAATATGTTTGAAAGAAAATTTGATAGTGTACATGTAAACAGGCCCTTTCGACAGTGACTGCTCTGTTTCCGGCCAGTGGCGTAGCCAGACCTCCATTAGAGACCTTACGATTTTAGGACGGCAACTGCGACGGCGACGGCCAAAACATTAAACTCCTTGAAATACATGGTAGTCGATAGTTCGTCGTAGATTAACAGTCGTATGAATTTAATACAGTTTTAGAAGTTGAAGACATGGGTTTTATGTTTGGGAAGAGTTCTGCTAAACCCAGTTTGAAGTTGCACTTGTTGTGGCTTGGAATGCAGCCGTTGTATCAAGACGTGCAAATCTGTGATTTGGTGTTGTAAACAGAGCGAGGACAATGTCTAAATTATTCATTTATTGTAATTACTCAATTCTTTTCAATGATCTATTGTATTGGTAGCCGTCGCCGTCGCGGTTGCCGTCCTAAAATCGTAAGGTCGCTATTTTTGGGTGGGCGAAGCTCACGCCGAAGGCGTGAGAAATCTAGAAATCTAGAGTACCTGAAATGCGATTTCAAGCATTTTGGGGGTGAAATCTAGCAGAATTCCGAAGATTATAAAGTACATCGAAGACATGAATTTTCCCAGACAATTCTACTCGGAATTAAATAAATTGGAAAGTCACCTTGAAAAACAGGAGGAGGGGTGAGTGTCACCTTATTTGTCCTCTGTGATGCTGGGGGAAGCATGTGATTTTGATCAGAAATGTTGCATTTAAATCATTCTACGTTCCATGAGACACCATTTCCGCATTCTCAAAATTGCGTTGCTTTTTATATGATACAGAATAAGTCCGAGAAGAAATATTCATGCTTACGATAATGCATAACATGTACTTAATTAACAGTTAAAAATCTAAACTAAATCTATTCTTCTTGGAACCATATCTCAGGGACCGCGGAGACGGGGGCACTTTTTTTGACAGCCAAAATTATTAAAATAGAAATCTAAATGAAACTTTCTAAATTAATTAAACCTCACCCTTTAGCACCCTTTAGCCCCCCCACTCTCTAATACGCTCCGCGGGCCCTGTATCTACGAGACTACAAATGCTTTAATTAACGAGATTTTACAAATCAAGTTCCTCCAGTATTAATCAGTTTCAGCTTCGAGCATGTAACATGTACCCCAATTTCTCTACTTCGCCCCTCGCCCGCTAGTCAATGAAATATTGTATTCAAAGATGTGTCTAAAACGTCCTTCGCAGCCCGCAGACGTACATGTGAAGCAAATTAACACCACATTAACAGTTTATAATGATAACAGGAAACACAGTAGACTTTTTTTTCAGTGGGAAAAAAGGAATGAAAAAGCTAATGTCGCAATGATAATTTGAATAGGTTTCTGTAAATAAATCGTGATTATCATGGCCAGACTGCATTTCAAACGACTTGTCAAAATCATTGAGCGATTTAATCAAGCATCCAACATTTGGCGTATAATCGCGCACTTTTAAAAGCCACTTTCGTCCGGCAGAGTTTTAATTCTTTAGTTCTTTAAATCGTGTGGATCTTCCCTTTGAGTGTCGCGCGCCTTAAAATATCGGTCAGAGAATCGTCTCACAAAATATTCGATGACTTTGAGTCGGACTTATGTATATTGTGATGTCCGATGACTTTGAGTTCACTTGGCTTGGAAATATTAAAGTATGAATGGGCAGACACAAATTAATATCAGCACAATTTGGAAAAGTCATTTGAATCTTGCATTGGTAATAAATTTCCGATCCGAACCCCACGGTAAAAACCCCGCTCTTGATTACACATTTCCTGAATTTAACCTATTCTCTGATAAATCTGCCCGAATTTTCTTGATTTTTCCTAGCATTTGCCCGAATTTCCATGGTTTTCCAAAATTGGGGGGGGGGGGGCAGTTGCCCCCGGCCCCTGTCTCGTACGCCTATGCATTTTGTTTTGTGTTGAACAAAGTTACAATTATAGGTCCGGGACACCACAAGTCTGACATAGTCTGCACGTAACAAGTTGTTAACAAGTTGATATGACAACAAGCTCGTAACAACTTGTTACGAACAGCCTGTATTAGTCTCAGTGGAACAACTTGTAGCAAGTCTGTTATCGTCATAAACCTTGTAACAAGGCGATAACAACTTGTTCCAGACTTGTCACAACAACTGGGAACAAGCAGTGCGAACACATCCTGATATCGTCTTGACAACAACCTTGTTACAACTTGCATACAGATTGGTTAACAAGAGGGCATACTCCTTAATAAAAGGGCACCAATGAAAATGAAATGGCGTCATAATCCTACATTCGTGTCAACCTCCTTCCCCGTCACCAATTTTTTTCGGACCGAATACAATTATTTAGACACAATTCCTCTGTAATTTCTCGCCAAAAATTCCATAAGTAATGCTTTCCGTTTCACCTTTCGCCAAATGGATAACAATTTTTCCGAATTCCTGTCGACTGGGGGGTGGAACATCCCCACACACATCCTCGAACGACGTTTAATTCTGCCTGTTGTAAAAGTTTTGTGCACCCGTTACACCCATAATCTGCACCCGCACTGCACCCACAAAGTTGAAAATGCAAAAGGGCAAGGGGCGCACTTGCACCTGAATGAATGAGTCGATGTGTGTTAATGTGTCGACAATGTTAATTAAGGGGCGGACCATTTGACTTTTGGGGGAGAGGGGTTGGTTGGAAGATTTAGAAAAAAAATTTCCTGCAACCCAAGGAGAAAGAAAAAAGATCATGCAGCATACAATCGAGAAAAAATATCATGCAAAAGAACTTCCTACATGTAAATCTACCGACATTCTTCACTTCAGTATTGTGTCCACAGGCTTGCAAGATTTTGCATTTTTGAAAATTATTTTATAACAAACAACCAAATTCATGAACATAACACGAGAAATGCATCAAAACTTCACAAATGTTATAAAAGAACAAATTATGTAAAACACACTCTCTCAAATAAAGGAGTTGATGTATGGAATTCGTTAGAAACAAAACTTAATGAAGTAAACTCCTATAACACCTTTAAAAAGAAAATTAAACAACATTTTTTGCTATACACAATTACCAATATATAAAACATACTTCTCTAATGTATATAATGACATATACTTTAATCTATTGTAGCCCAACATTGGCATTGTAAAATTAAATGCATCTACAACATTACTATTAATTTATATAATACGAACATTCCCACTTCTTTTTCTCTCTTGTAAATATAGTGTATATACTTCAAAACTTTCTGATTTTACATATTATGTATTGATTGACTGTAAATAATCGATTATGTTATGAAACGAACAGTAACTAGAGACCTAAAATAAAAAGTCTATGAAGATTTCTAGTAGGTCTCTAGCCCAACATCTTCAAATTATTGTGATATATTTTAAGTAGATTTTTATACATGGGAAAATAAAAAATAAAAAAAAAAATAAAAATTGTCAGGAGTTGTGTGGTATGGTACCAAGTATAGTGGAAAACCGTTTCCGCATTCTTGTCCACCAAGCTTGCCAGAAAGACGAGTTGATGATGGTCCACCTTGAACAAACACCGGAGTAGACTATGCAGGTCCATTGCATGTTAGAAAAAGAAATTCATAGGCTAAGGGAATAATGGAAAAGGTTTACTTATGTCTATTTACACAGCTGTGCCTCAACGAGAGGTATTCATCTAGAACTAGCAGAAAATTGTTCTGCCGTACAGTTTCTCCAACAACCAGGAGCAAAAATTATTGAGACAACCGCATAAATGACCCCCTCACCCCCAATTTAATGTTGTGTGAATGACTGAAAAGAGAAAATTCAACCCACTTTTTCCAACATTGATCATGGGGGCAGGGGGGAGGCCGACATACTTTAAAATGGCCAAAAATGTGAAAAGTAGGAGGCTATCTGGGGGTTAGCTGTCCGGCAAAATTTGAAATTTTTCCAAACTCTAGCGATCAAGTTAACATGAAATTGACATATTTCAATCAATTAACCGAAAGTTTTTTGTCCCCCAAAATGTAGAAATTCTGCAAGGAGCCTGCGCGGGGGACTGGGCAAGAATAAAGAAGCATTTCTAACGAATTTAATTTTTATACTATCATTTACTTACTAGAGAAAAATCTTTGGGAAAATAGACAAGCTGTAGGCTAAATAAGATCTATTAAAATACTTTGCGATATAGTAAGACACATCCAATAAGCCATAAAAATCTAATGTAGTGTTTTAACTACTCTTACGTCCTTTCAAGCTCAATTAGCCATCATTTCCTGAGGAGGGAGTCATTATATGACAGTTCCTCAGCAGATATTTTGCACATGTGCGACCAGATTTGCTTGAGCTCATCTCGCATAATCCCAAAATCATAGGAGATGGAAGTTTGCAATAAATTCTAGTGCAAGTTTACGATCGGTAAGTCCGTATATCAACATAAATAAAAAGCTTGGATTGGGTTTAAAATCTAGTGAGTATGTCAATCTTACGTAACAATTCATCTAAAAGTAGGAAAATCATTGAAATTTTTCCAAAATTGTATGTAAGTAGATCAGAACGATGCGTTGTCTGTTATAAAATTCTTGAACTTAAAGGAAATATTCTGTTTGAGAGAAAAACAATATACTCATTATTGTCAGCCATGGGAAAAAATTGTCTGAAATTTACTCATTATTTTGTAATCTTCTTCCAATGTATATATTCGTCAATTAATCGTCCCGTTTCCTAACAAACAAGTACGATCGTACTATAGTGGACCAGGAACTGCGTGACCCAGTTTCGATCTTGTGCAAATCGTTAAACGTTCAAAACCTTCGAGATTTTGACTTGATAAACAAATAACTAGACACTTGTGAAACTAATGTTCTCGAAGTTTGCAACGTAGACTGAGTTCGATAAATGTTTTGCTTTAATTTGGTCATGCAAGATACACTTTATCCGGGCAAAATGTGTCTAGTGCCGTGTGTATATAGCCTAAATGAGGTGTAAATCTGGACAAAGCATAGATAACTAAATGCGCAGTTTTCAAAAGTATTTCCTCGCATTTGAATTCGATAGATAAGTTAAATGTCCCACAATATTTAGAATAAACATGCCGTGCCTAAGTCAGCTAACTTTTGCCGTACATCAAATTTTGCCTTGCCGTGCCTGCCATTAATTACAAAATAAGTTAAAGTAACAAATTATCTGAATTGTTGCCAGGTTAATGCAATTTCATCTCGCTTAGTCATGGCTTCATAACTGCATGCTTGTGCTAAAAACAAATTTTCATGTCTTTGTTTTTACGGTTCACGATTTTCTATCGGACTATGAATATTATATGATAGCCAGATAGCAATATTACTCCACTACGCTTTGAGAAACTAAGCCAGCGTGTTAAATTTAGTCAACTTAACGCTTATAATTAATTGTTATAATTAGTCGTTCACATTCTTGAGA